CCGGGCCCACCGCGCACCCGGCCGGAGAGAGCCGCAGCTCAGCACCCGGCCCTTGTGGGCTTCACAGGACACACTCTCGCGCAAGCACCCGAAGCCACCACTGCCACCCATCCCACGGCAGAGTCCCCCCAAGGGCAGGGGGGAACCCCAACACCCCAACTCTTCCCAGTACCCCCAGGTTAACGCTATCCAGAGCGGGAGGAAAGCCACAGCTCCAGGGAATCAGCCCTGGAAGGGGCAGAAGGACAAAGGCAGCGCACACAAAGCCACCACCCGAAGGCCAGAGATGGCAGCAAGGGCTCTGCCCTGTCACGATAGTGTATCAGCAACACGCACTGAGGAGCATCTCGTGACAGGAGAGGGGAACCACCCAAAAAGAGAGGTGCAAGCAGTCACGGGGGGTTTAGGCAAGGGAACCCCAGTGAGCACAGCAAGGCCGGTGGCCTTGGTGGCCGTGAGGCCTGGCAGAGGTGGGACGCGAGGGGAGTCGGACGCGTGGACACAGCCTCAGCCACCAGCGCCTGGCCCGAGCCTCGGAGCCAAGGTGGAGGTTGTCAGTAGGCTGGACTGGGGCTTTGCGAGGGCTAAACTGGGCACCACAAGGGAGGGGTTCTGCTCCCAGGGTGACCCACGTCACCACCGTCCCAGCCAGGCTTGAGCAAGAGCAAGCCACAAGGACTCTGCTTGGGAAATTCAACTCCAAGTACACAAACCGAGAGAGGAAGGCAGTGCAGCTGCACGGGGGGAAGCAGCAGGCTGTGGCTCAGAGAGGAGCTGCTGCTGCTCTTGCCGTAGGAAACGGGAGCTTCCATTAAAAAAGGCTTCCAAGACAAAAAGCCAGGCAGAAGCTGAGGATTTGGCAGGGAGTTTGGCTCCTTCCAGCATGGCCTTTGGGTCAAAGCCGCCAGCCAACTGCCTTCCCGCGCAGCAACCAGCAGCGCAGCAGAAGGGGCTTCTACCACGGCACCTCCAGCCGCCGGCCACTCCCCACACGGGGCTTCTCCGGGGAGGAGGAGAACAGCGAGGGAGCAGGCACAGCTTCACCCGAGAGCCTCCGCCCTGCCGTACCGCAGCTTACGTGTGCACACAAGCGAACAATCAGGCAGTCTGGCGGCACCAAGCAATCCCAGCAGGCACCCGAGCGCCCGGCTCACCCTGGGGACCCCTCGCTGCGCCACAGCTGCCTCTGCGTGACACTTCCGGGCAGTCAGCCTTGGCTCGGCCAGTCTCTGGGACCTACGGAGACAACGGGCTCCCTAGCAGCTAAGTGTACGAGTGAGCTCCCGCTTCCTCCTCCTCCCGGTCTGAAGGGGCCACTCGAGTTGCCCACGG